ACAATGGCCGTCACCAGGCTCTCAACACAGACGAACTGCAGAAGAATTCATGTCAAGAAACCAAGGACCTAATGTCTCTCTTTCCCTACGCATCCCCTTTCCCACTTCCATTCTTCCACTCAGTTAGTCTCTCTCCTCTTTCCTACACCTGAAGCATGAACTGCTTGGAAACAAGGAGGTATAGCTGCATCTGAGTCCCAAAGGAAGTGGAGTTACCACTGGTGCAACATCAGGAATTGAGCACCCTGGAAGAGTGACTGGAACCACATCTGGAACTGAGTGAGATTATCACAAGCCTTGCACATGGAGTAGGGAGGATGTTCAGGTACAACAGAAATGACACACGGAACATGGAGACAATAAGGGAATTGCACCTCACCACAAAGGATTATCAAGAAATAAATTGTGTGTCACAAGGAACCACTGTGGTATAAAAGAAGTTACTGCCAGGAAGCAGCTACTCTGGAGCCAGGAGACAGTGAGGGTACTGCAGGTCACAAGTCACACCTGGAATCAAGAACACTCGTAGTACAGTGGGAGCTGCCATCAAACTACAGTTACAGATGGGGCTTGTCACAATACAAAGGGAGTCCTAGTGAACTTAAAGGAGATTGACACAAAATGTGTAGTGAAGTGCCTGGTTCATGAGGGATGACTGCTAGCCCCAAAGGGCAGACTTGGCGGGAAGGACACAGAAGCGTGGCTGCTGGTTGTCACTGGATTGTCAGAGACTTATGCTGGAAGGTACAGGTGCTGCAGGTCACTGTTAAGGAGTAACACCTAACACCAGCTGACTGCTGGGATGTACTGGCCAGCTCTAAGTATTACCATTCTGAAGTAGTGACATGGATGTGTGACAGGTGTTCCAGGTGGCTGAGAGACACATCACCATTTCCCACCCACGAGTTATGACCTACATGAGGCTCTCAAACATGTGACAAACAACCCTCCTCTTTCCCTCTAACTCCAAGGTATTTACTGTACCTGGCTGTCCAGTCCCAGGAAGATCAGCATAAGGAAGAATAGGCAGGACCAGAGCTGAGACACAGGCATCATCGTTACAGCCTTTGGATACGCAATGAATGCTAGGCCCGGACCTGCCAATCAGATAGCTGAGTAAGGATGAGGTTTCCCCAACAACACGACCCAGCAACACAGAGACCAGTTTGATGTGCTGTTTAAAAAACTTAGCCTGCCAAGACCTCACTTCCCCAGAATGTATCGTGCAATGGTCACTGACACACCAGATAATAACTGCTGACATAGGCTGAGCGGCTGGTTTTGGAAAGAAGAATCAGGGATTTCAAAACAACAGGGAATGCAGCTCTGCTTCTGGACAGTGGCACTAAGTGCATCAGGATAGCAGAGAATAAAGCAGTGGTTCTGGATGACAGGGCCTCTGAGTCCGCAGAATAGGCAGAGGCTGTTCTGGGCAACTGGACTGGGGACACTAGCAATTACAGAGGATGTAGGATTGGTTCAAGGTAGCAGCACTGCTAACCTCATGGGTTGGCTTCATATTCAAAGGTGTCAGTTCCTAAAAAGTCCACCCGTGTTTTAAGTTTTCCTTTTGGTCCGGTCACATTTAGAAAGCACCTACCTGACTCAGCCACTTCTGAAATGGGCACGCCCTGTTCTTGTGCCATGAAGCCCAGCACAGAGAAGATAGCAAAGCCGGCCACAAAGCTGGTGGCACTATTCAGGAAACATAGCATGAAGCAGTCCCTGTTGGGGCAGAACCAAAGAGAGAGAGAGAGAGATGGCATTGTTTTCCTCTGCAAATTTACCACTTTGGGCAATTGCTTTTGTGCTCAGCTTTCTGAATGGGACATGAATCCATGCACTTGCTTACACTAACATTAGCCTGAGACTCCTCCAGAGGCCAGCAGCCCAAAACAGAACTCGGCAGCCTACAGCCTTGACCCATGGCACTACAAGAACTACATGATTATACTTGGCAATAAAAATAACGGAGGGCTGCAGCCATATATTGTAAGCAGGATGCCCCAGTGAAGTCACTAGGGACTTGGCACAACAAGGGGCAACAGGAATCATCATATGAGGGTAGAGCAATGGAACAAATATTGAGGGGAAAAGGATCCTTAAATAACAAGGGACCTGTTCCAAAGCCCTCTGAAACAAATAGAAAGACTCCAATTGACTTGAATGGGCTGGGGATCAGGCCTGAGAGGAAAAGGGAACTAGAAGCAATAAGCACTGGATGAAAAAGAACCTGTCATGCCAGACAAACCTTTCTGTTGCTCTTTCTGATCGAATTAAAACACACACAGGGTGCACTAAAGGGGCTGGGATTTTAATAAGGCATTTGATGCCATGGGGCAGATTCTCCTCTTCTTTAGACCACTGTGAATCTGGTGTAATTCCCCTGAGATCAGACCCAGGTAACTGAACTGAATTTGGCCACAGGCATTACTAAATCTTATTTCCATATCAGTTAACATTTTACAATACCCATATCAGCTCAACAATGGCACCTCCAGGAGTCCCGTGCCCCCTCTCCCTGCCCAGATGGAAGAGTGCCACCGGCAGAGCCACCAAAGGCATTTCTTGTAGCCCCTGGGTTTTCCTGGGTAGTCTCCTACCCAGTTGCTGAGCCCTGCTTAGCTTGTAAGAGCTGACAAGAGCATAGGACAAAATGGCGTGGGCCCCACGCGTGATTTCGAGGCAGTGAGTGCCACAGCTCCAACTACCCTCTGCTCGGCTGCCCACACGGCCCTCAGCCGGATGTGAGAGGGAGAGAGAGGCACAGGCTGCTCCTACCTGTAACAGTTGTTATTGTACTTGTTGTAGCTGCCCAAGGCTGTCAGGCACCCCTGGCAGATAGCATAAGAGAAGAAGATCTGAGTGCCTGCATCCATCCACACCTAGAACAGAAAAGGACAGTGATTTGCAGCCACAGCTAAGGAAATAAATGGTAAAGTCTTGTCAGGGTACACGCACTTCGGGGCAGCAGCCTGTCAGACATGGAGAAATCCACATCAGGCAGAGAAGGGAAGAATCCATACAGGGTGTGACATGTCTCTGGATTGATTGTCCCAGCTTGGGGGACTGAAGTGAAGATTCCACCATGAAAAGGGAGAATTTTCCTTCTGGACCCCAACGGCTTCTCTCAAATAATCCAAGGAAGAATGGATCTGAGTGGGGAAGGGAGAGTGATTTTTAAGCCCTCAGACAGGGGCAGTCAATAGGCAGACCGTGGACCAAATCTGGACTGCCAGACACTTTTGAACGGACCGCAAAATCTTTGTATTTGCTTATTATCATCATTATTGTTATGGAGGTGTGAAAATATTTCTCTGGAGTCTGGACCTGGACTATACCTTGACAAAAAATAATTGACTATCCCTGCCCTAGGATGTCTGTTGCATAATCTGTCCTTCACCAGCTACCCTGATGGAGGGCATATTCCAAGAGGGCTGTCATCATCTGTTCCCCCGAGGCAGTGAATCAGGGGGCTAGATCAATCCCAAACACCATTCATTTTTTCTAAGCTAAAGTGCCCGCAGAATGTACAGAGAGGGTGCATGGGGATATGGCATGGTATAAAGTCTGTATCAGCACAAGTTGGAGATCACTTAGCTGCTTGGGAGTGAAAAAAACAGGAGTATCTCACAAAGCCATCCCAAACAAGTGCCAATAAAACCTTTATATGACACCACACCACCCGGTATTCCCTACACATGAGGGTGGAGGAAGATCAGGACAACGGGAGCAGCCAGGAGATGTTGGGTTCATAGTATCTCATCACCACCATTAACTCATCCTGGCACCCATCCAGAGCAGCAGAGTTCGTTGTTATTTCAGCCTTCAGCTGCTGGCTCCTCCTCCACTTCACTGTATTGATAGCACTTTCTCTCACACAGTGTGATGCTAGTATACAGAGCCACAAAGATGGGCTGCAGGGCTCAGAATCTTCCACACAGCCAGGGAAGGATATTAGTAGCAAGTTAACAGCCAGGAAGGAACACCTTGTCCAGTATCCTTGCTGTCCCCTAAACGGTGCCCAGCAGGCTTCCAAGTGGCTGCAAATTGGCAGGCCTTCAAATACACGCAGCCAGCCACTGCTGTTTGAATTAACTGAGATCCCTCATGGATCCAGACCTACAGATTCACCCAGGAACTTTCCCCCCTGCCCCATTATAATCAAGGTCCAACCTAATCCACAACAAACTGGACTCAAATTCTGCAGCAAGGTGTCTGGCTCCTGCAGCTCTCCCACGTGGCAGACCAGAAATTCCATATCAACTTCATTTAGATTAGAAAATGGAGGCTTTTAATGAATTAACTGAACACGAATAAGACACTCAGCCCCTGTGTTGTTTATTTTCATATTAAAATTCCATTTAATTTACGCTGTCTCCATGTTTTCAACATGTCACTGATTTTTGTGTTGACAAGACATAACTGCATCTGAAAGTCATCGGGGGAAGCTGGAGGTGTT